TTTTTGGGTTAAGTTATATAATCACAAAACTTCCAGTTGCTTGGATTCTTAGAACGACCAAAAAAAGCAATAATCACGAACTCTTCCTTCTTGGCTCAATATCATTATGTTTATTGATGTCACAGTTTTCACTTTTACTTGGTCTTGGTGTTGAAATCGGTTGTTTTGTTGCAGGAGTGTTTATACATAATTGTAGATATATTATTGATTCTTCAATTGGCGTGGTTGAACCAGTTAAAGATTTGTTTTCATGTTTATTTTTTGCCAGCATAGGACTTCACATTTATCCCAGTTTTTTGATTAATGAAGCACCATTATTGCTTATACTTACTGCGGGAGCTGTAGGATTTAAATTTATTAATAGTAGCCTTGCATTAGCGATATTAGGTCATCCAATTCAACGTGCTTCAACAATGGCAGTTGGTTTGGCTCAAATTAGTGAATTTGCATTTGTGCTTGGAAGTCGTGCAAAAGGATATGGAATCATATCGAGAGAAGCATACTATCTTCTATTAACAACTACTTCTTTAACACTTGTGGTGACACCAATATTATGGAATATATTATTCAATAAAAAAAAAGATTTTAATAGTAGTATTGGTGGTGGCAATACAGGTGGGGTGATACCATTTTCAATAAACAATCCTGGAAAGGTTGAATAAAACACCTTTTTATATAATTAATTTTAAAAATAATAATAATTGATATAATAATGAAAAACCTTAATATATTTTTTTTTTTGGTATTTATTTATAATATATTTGATTGATTGGATATTTATTATGTAATATTATAGATAATTTTATTATTATTAATAATGTTATTTTTAATTTTGTAAATAGTAAATATGATTGGCATGAAATATACGAAAATAATATATAAACGAGGGTTTTATCAAAACTCCGCAAAAATTTATGTTCGTTTTTAACACATTGTTCATATTTACCTTTGGCAATTCCCAAAATAAAAAAGGAAACCTATGAAATTTTTAGTAAAAATAGACAGTCTTAATTGTACAGTGAGTGCACCCTCTATAAATGCATCCCTCCATAAATGCATGCTATGTCTCATTCCCAACCTCGGGAGTTAGAGATAAATGCACACCCTCCATACTCTGCACCGCACGGTCTTCACCCATCCCCGTTCATATAAAACCACACTCTCTAAATGCACGTCCGTGACTTTCACGTGATTTATTTGCTAAATAAATTCGTGTTGCATTAATATTAATTAATTTCAGTCTGGGATTTTACCATATCGGTATGTTGCTCTGCCGATCAATTCATATATGTTACAAATGAATTCACAAGATGTTACTCGTCATATCGAAGTCACATTTTTTTAAAAAAAAAATTAAATTCATAATTGAAATAAATAGTCCAAAACTTTCTTTTTCATAATCTGTTAATAATCTGTGATAATCTGTTGATTTGCTTAAAGTATGTTTCTATCAAAATCAGGGAAAATTTAAACGCGAGGTGTTCAATTTCGTTTTTTTTTTATTTAACTATTATTTTTTTAAAAATTTTTAGTGGAAAGACAACCTGCTAGTGTACCTTATCATGCTTGCTCACCACACTTGCTCAGAAATATTCGGAAAGTAAGCTGAAACAATGTGAAATCAAAAGTAATCAATACTGGAGACAAGCATCAGGAAATGCAGTAAGGGAATTATCTTTGTTAATTGATTCTTTGGAAATTATTCAATATGTGAAAAACATTATAATCAGATTGTTGCTATTAACATTTTTTATCAGACTCTTTTAAATTCGAATATAAATAAAAATTCAGATATTCCTATTATTCAAAAAAAAAAGATCCCAGGAAATCAATAATTTGGAATTACACTCAAGTACCATTGACATTGTAGCAGGCGAAAATTATATTGGTGAGTCTAACATTACAGAGGAGCTTCAAAGAACAAGAGACATGCTAAAAATGAGTGAATCAGAACATCAAAAACAATCAATAATTATTTTGGATCTTAATAATAAAATCATGCAACTACAACAACAATTAAAAAATTATGAACATGAAGTATCAGAATTAAAAAAGAATTTAGATACTTCTTATAATCACATAGATGAAATTCAGAATCTATATGAAGAACAATTTAGCAAAAATAAATATCTTCTTGAACAATGGGATTCATGTTTTAGCAATCAACAAAAACATATCCCTTAAATGGTTAATTGGCTATTGACAGCTGATAAAATTTTCTGATATAAAAAATTTTTTCTGAGGGCATCACTTCCTAATACAAAAATGATCTTTGAGATTCAGCCAATTAATCTATAAATAAAAATCCAGTTGTTGTCCTTGTGGTTTTTG